CCGGTGAGACGCCAAGGGAAGGTCACCGTGAAGTATGACCGCAAGGAGCTACGGAAGCGCCTCAACCTGGAGGAGTGGATCTTGGAGCAGCTCACGCGCCTCTACGACTGTCAGGTGTGCCCCTTACCCTCTACCGACCCCCTAACATCGGTCTGTAGTCGGGCTGCCCGGAACCCCACCGTGAGCCCGCCTGTCACCCGGAGTCAATGGGCGCTCCGCTTCCGCGCGCTCCCCTCCTCTCTGCACTCCCCGCCCCCATGTATGTTCTTTCTTGTGTGACCTAAGTCACTCCCATCTTCCCCGTTGCCTCGGACCCTGCCTCCCGCAGCCTGCCCCGTAGGTCTACCTTGGGGTCCTCCAGAACCCCAAGGGATAGTCTGGCCTCTGGGCAGAAGGCAAGGGGCTAGCCTGGTCTGGCAAACAGTGGAAGGACATCTAACCTACCTAGTGCAAGCTAGACTAGGCTGTGGCTACAAGGCTAGCCCCCTTGGTGGATGGAGGGTCCGAGCTGCTCCTGAGCTAGCCTGGAGCTCCCATCTCGGCGTGGGGGGCAGGCTAGCCCGCTCTCTGGTTCTGGTTCTCCACCCTATGACTCCCTGGTTGTTCACAGGGTGACTCAAGCCCCTGGGGGCAGGGGGAGGAGTGGGCCTGCCCTGGAATGCAGCTGGCTCCAGACAGGGTAGTTGCTTCCTGGGGGGAGGGGTGGTGGGCACCCCCTCCCTCAACACAACGTGGGCTCTTTGTTTCCCTTTTCCCAGGCCTGGGTCCTTCCCCCTGACCCATCACCGGCCTTCATTTCCTCCTCCCTCTTGGAAATCGGTGACAGGTGTTTGAGGGAGGGGAGGGGGCTGTGATGAACTGGGACAGCTGGTCCCACCTGTGCTCTGGTTGAGATGGGGGACCTGGAAGTGGGGGAAACACATCTGCTAGGTTCCCAGCCCAGGGGCCTCCAGCCCTGGCTGTCTGGCACCCAGGGTGCCCGCTGGCTGGGACAGGAAGTGCCCCCCCCATTGGGCAGTCGGCCTTGGCACAGGCCTGATCTGTCTCTCTGCTCAGAGCAGCTGCTGCTGTCTGCTGGGCAAAGAGGGCTGGGTTCCTCCTAGAGTGTTCAGGGACCTCCACCCAGGACAGCCCTTCGCACACCTCTCAGCTAAGGGCCTTGTCTCTCTCCCACCCACGCCCACCCCAGGAAGAGGAGATCCCAGAGCTGGAAATTGACGTGGATGAGCTCCTGGACATGGAGAGCGATGACACCAGGGCTGCCAGGGTCAAGGTGAGAGGGGGTGGAGGACCGTCTGCAGGCACTGCCCCTTGGCAAGCAAACTGTTAAAACAGGGCCTTTGCTCTGGGTCCATTTGCCTGCTAACTAAAAAGTTGGTGGTTCAAACCCACCAGCCACTCGGCGGAAGACGGGGCAGACTACTTTGGTAAAGATTGACCGCCTTGGAAACCCAACGGGGATCACTATGAGTGGGAACTGATTCAAATGGCAGTGGATTGGGTTTGGTCTGTCCGCCAGCTCTGACCTTGGGCTCAGCATGTCCCTCCATGAAATGGGGAGAACAGTGTTTGTCTGGCTGTGAGTTACAGTGGCATGTGGCTGCTTTGGGCAGTCCAAGGCCCTGGGATGTGTTCCTGAAAATTCACTGTTGCACTTCTGCCCCCTGCCCAATGTCCCCTCAGGAGCTGCTGGTTGACTGTTACAAACCCACTGAGGTGAGTGGTTCCCCTGGAGGGTGGGCTAAGGGGAGCCTGGGCTCCATTTGGGGTCTGGTCTCCCTGACACTCTCCATCCTGCCCAGGCCTTCATCTCTGGCCTGCTGGACAAGATCCGGGGCATGCAGAAGCTGAGCACACCCCAGAAGAAGTGAGGGTCCCCACCCCAGGTGAATGGAGGCTCCCACAGGACAATCGCTGCCCCCCGACCTCGTAGCAACAGCAATACCTGGGGGGGCCCCGCGGCCAGGCCTGGTGCCACAAGCAGGGCTCCCCGTGCCCCTGGCCCAGGGGCCTCTTCTCCTGCCCCTATTTTCCATTTTGGGGTTTTTTTATTGTTATTAAACTGACGGGACTTTTTGTGATTTTATATTGACTCTGCGACGCGGGCCCTTTAATAAAGCTAGGCTATGCCTTTGGTGCAGCTTCTGGGCTTGGCTGGTTTCTTTGTGGGGGGGGGACGGACACTGCTCTCCTAGTGCTACCAGCACAGCTGCTCCCCAGGTGACCGTGGGCCTTCCTGAGGGCCAGGTAGCCATGGTGATAGCCCAGTGCTGGCTCCCAGACCAGGAGCAGGAGCTGGAGGTGGCTGGGGACTTGGGGGTGGGAGGGTGCTGTGGGCAGGCAGGAGCAGTCCTCCCTCTGCAGACACGGGCCACCTGGGCCTGCCTGTGGTGACTCTGTGTCCCGGAGCCTAGATGCCAGGGCTCTGTAGCCTAGAAAGTAGGGTGGATACTGAGGGAGAGGGGAGGGCCCACAAACAAAGACAAGCTCACTCCATGGGCTTTTAAGGGTTTTTTGTTTTGTTTCCAAACAGCCTGGTCCCTGCAGGGGGCCTCTCCCGCCTGCCCCTTCCCCAGTCTGGCTACAGTTCTGAGCGTCTTTCAATTTTGAGCAGCTCCACCTCAAACACCAGGGTCGCACCACCTGTGGGAAAAAGTAGGATCAGATTGAGAACTAGGGCCACAGGGAGATGGGCTGCCTCAGGGTTGGGGTAGGAATGTCTGTTACCTGGAATCTTTGGGGGCGCTCCCCGCTCTCCATACCCTGTCAAAGATGTACAAAGAAACAGTGAGCTGAGACCACACCCTCCTCCAGATCAAGCAACGGGGAGGGGAGATAAAACGGAAGTGGGAGAGGGGCTGGCCTCCCGGGTCTTGCCCTGTCATCACTACCGGAGGTGGACTTGGAAGAGACAGGTGGTGGAGGAATGAACAGGGTGGGAACTCCTGCAGTGACTGAAGCAGCCTCTGCCCCTCCCCAAACATGGCCCCGACTCCTCCATCCCTCAGCCCTCTTACCCAGCTCGGATGGGATCACCAGCTTCCGCTTTTCCCCCTCACACATCCTGCACAATGATACGTGCTCAGCATGTGACGGCACCCAGGCCCCCTGCCCACCTCTCACCACCACCCACCCCCTGCCCTCTCACACACAGCTCACCTCCTGGACCAACCATGGCCCTCCTCCAACTCACCCCAGCAGCCCCTGGTCCCAGCCCTTGATGACCTGGCCAGTGCCAAGGGAGAAGACAAAAGGCTGGTTCTGGGGCAGGCTGCTGTCAAACTCCGTCCCATCCTCCAGCTTCCCCTGTGGAATGGTGGGAAGGCCAGTGAGGGCTGGGGACCCCCTCCTGACCCCAGCTCAGCTGCTCTCCTCATCAAGTTCGCCCCCACAGCATTGGCAGCCACAGTTCTTGACACTCTGTATCACTCCAGTTGAGGTAGGCCTCAAAGTGGGGGCAGACAGTGCATGGCAGGGTACAACTAGGAAAGTGGCTTAGAAGGGACTTGCCCAAGGTCACCCACCTGGTGATGGGAGGAATCAGACTTGAAGGAACCCAAGTCCTTTCTAGTCCCCAAAAGCCCCACCCCCCCCAATGCCCCGCCTCCTCACCCACCGTATAGTGCATGTGTAGAACATCTCCTTTGCGGGATTTGATGGGACAGTGGTCCACCCTCTTCTTGACCCCGATCTGCAGTTTCCGCTTGCCCTCGGCCCCGGTGGCTGTGGTCAGGGCACTCAGGCTGATGGACAGTACTGCTAAGACCCAGCTCAGCCTCATGTCTCTGCAGGCACAGACCCCCACCCACAGACCGGGCGGAGGGCAGGGAGGGCATGGAGCAAGGGCAGGTACTGGGAGGATTCCACCCCGCCCCCACCGTACCATGCCAGCCCCTGGGGATCCCTTTGTCCCGGGTCACCGCCCCCTCCCCCAGGCTCCGCGGCCACACTTACCAGTCCAGTGAGAAGGGGGCTTGGCCGAGGACCCCAGCAGCGGGGGGAGGGGGTCAGGGGAGGCCACAGCAGCCAGGGCCCCGCCCCTTTGCTCACCCCCAGACCTTCCCTCCCTCCCGGTCCCCAGCCCCGACCTTCAGTTCCCACCGGTCCCTTTGCGCAAAGTCCAGACCCTCTCTGGCTGCACAGCGGATGTGCCGACCGGGCGATCCCATTCACGCCACACCCAACTACCTCTGGCCCAACACACCCATACATCTGCGGCCGCGGCAGGGGGTCGACCCCGAGGCACCCATACATCGCCGCTGGGAGGCTCCGAGGAGCCCCTGTCCTCCGGGGGTACCCCCCAGCCCGGCCCTGTGCCTCCACCCGTTGCACCGCCCCAGCTCTGAGCCCTCGGGGGTCTCCGGGGCACCCAGACTGGCCCTGTGTCGGGTGGCCGCTGAGCCCGCTCCACCCATACCACCTCTCCTGGAGGAGTTCTCGGCCGACCCCGTCCCCAGGCCCCGCCACCCCGGAGTCCGCCCCCTCGTGGACGCCCCGGGCCATTACCCGGGTTTAGTCCTTCGCTTGGCTCCTTGGCCCCGCCCTTCGGAGAGCGTGGCTCTGCCTCCGTCCCTGGAGCCCCGCCCTCAACAGAACCAAACCCCTTTTCCTGACGCGCAGCCGCTCCACTCCCCGCTCCCAGTACCGGAGCTCGGTCCCCCTTGGCCTCCAAACTCGAGGCTCCGCCTTTCAACTGTTCCGGCTCCTCCTCCAAGAGCCAGGCTCCTCCCCTCACCGCACTTAACTCCGCCCCCAGCCGCGTAGCCCCGCCTCCTTCTGATCCCAGTTCGGAAGTCCCACCTGTCTCTGCTCCACGCCCCGCCCCCAGTCCTGGGGCTCCGCCCCGACCGGCGTGAGGTCCCTCCCCATGCGGCATCCCTAGACAGCTCCGACCCCAGCCCCCAATTTGCTCGTGACCTATCCCTCGTTAACACTCGGGGCCTCGGCCCGCTCCTTCCCGGCCTGGTCCAGCCTGCCCTCTTGCACCCCGCTCCCCCAGCCCGGGCTGTGGCCCCCGCTCACCTCCTCGCCGCGCCCCCGGAGTCAACCCCAGTCGTGCTGTTCCCTTTGCGCAGGCGCATCCGTCGCTACCAGGCGGGGCCACGCCGCCCTCCCTCATTGGACCATGCAAACCCCGCTGCCACACTCCCGCGGGGCGGCTTCTTCCCTAGCTCCGCCTCTCGCGCTAGCGCATGACCTACGCATCACTTCCGGTGGGCAGTCCTTAAGGTTAAGTGAAAGTGACTTCCGAAAGGGCTGAGGGTACTTCCGGCCGAGGTGAGCCTAAGGTCAGGCGCGCTCCTCGGGGTTCTTTAGGCGCCGTCCCGCGTCGCCCCCCCAGCCCATCTCGCAGCGCTTCCGTTTGCCATCGGGTCCCTTTGTGAGCCGCGATCCCTGGTTAGGTGCTTTGGAAAGAGCCTGGGCGTCAAAGGCAGCCCTGGGTTTGAACTTTGGCTCTGCCACTCTGTGTGACCTTGAGTAGTTCCTTCCCTAGCAGCATTTGGCGGCCCTGTAACGTGAGCTTGGTGTAACCCTCATCCGACAGGCCCCTTGGAGGATTGAGGCGATAGATAATATGCAGCGCCCGCCTCAGGCCCTGGCACACAGCTAATTTTCTTCCCCTTTTCACTCCCTCAGCGCCCAGGCTGACCACTACCTGCCCCAAATGACTACAGTGGCCCGGCCCATTTCCCCTCCAGGCGCCCTGGCACTCACAGTTGCCAGTTGGGTAACGAATCTGCATTTGGGAGGCTGAGTGTAAGGCAAAAAAAGAAAAGAAAACAACAACTCACTGCTGTCAGTTGAATCCAACTCATAGTGACCCCTCTTTGGGTTTCGGAGGCGGTATCACTATGGAAGTAGATTGCCCCATCTTTTTTCCGAGGAGTGGCTGGTGGGTTTGAACTACCAACCTTCTGGTTAGCAGTCAAGTGCCTTAGGCACTATGCCACCAGAGCTCCCACAAGAGAGGCAGTCAAGTCAAATCCTTCCAGAGTCTACATCTTCATTTGAAAAAGGCAGGGAATCGCGGGGCTGGGCTCAACTGAGGATAGAACCAGATGCATGGGAGGCACTGAGCGTGTCTGGTGGGCTGGGGCGGTGGCAGCTCTAGGAAGCCTAACCCTCACCTGTCTCAGGTGAGCTGTGCTGAGCAGTGACAGGTGGGAAGTTACTTGAATAGTGACCACTGTCTCTTCCTGGTTAACCCTACTCCTGTCTGTGGCCCACCAATATCACAAGTGGTCCCTCTAATACCCTGGAGAAAGCCCCCGTTAGAGTGGCAGCTTTGGGGCTACCTCTGTCCTTGACTGCCCTGCCTCAGCAGGGCAAGGGTTGGGTAGCCTTCAGTCCCCTCCCTTGCACTCAGCCACAGGACACTGGAGGCTGCAGGGAGGGTGGGTGCTGACCTTGGGCTGGATCAATGTAAGCAAAGTTCCAGGTGGTGGCTAAGGGGGGCCCCCACAGAGGTGCAAGGGAGGTGACGAAACCAAAATCAAACTCGCTGCTGTGGAGTCGGATCCGGCTCATAGCAACCCCTCGTTGGGTTTCCCAGGCGGTATCATTAAGGAAGTAGATTGCTCAACCTTCCTTCCAGGGAGTGGCTGGTGGGTTTGAACCGCCAGCCTTCTGGTTAGCAGTCAAATGCCTTAGGCACTACACCACCAGAGCTCCTCAAGGGAGGTGAAGGCGGAGCAGACTACAAGTTGAGGTGCAGGGGGCCCACACACTCTAGGAAGAGAAAGTGAAGTGGGGACAGGGCAGAAGTGTGGTTGAGCCAAGGTCCAGGGGGCAAAACGCAGCAAAATACATGTGGTCCCAGTCTTAAGACACTGGAGTTAGGCTGAATGGCACTTAGGAGTTTGGTGATTTTGGTTTGTCTCATCCCTTGGAATGTTGCAATGCAGAATTACACTGTTGCAATGCAGAATTTGCTGCTGTTCTCCAATGTTTAAAGATCAGAGTTACAAAGATACTGATAATAAAGGGCAGTAATAATGAAAACCAAAAAAATAAAGTATTTGACTACAGCAGAACCAATGTACGTCAGAGGTGTCAGAAGGGAACCCCATCATAAGTCAAGGACTACGTATTAAGTGTGGCCTGATGAGGAAGTGGGTGTTGTTTTCTTTAAGGTGAAGACAGGCCAAGCTTCCCCAGAGCCCAAAGCAACCGTCCATTCCTTCCACATGTACAGGTGGAAATGGGCTTAGTGAGGGGGGGCAGTGATAGCGGTCACTCAGCAGATCATCAGCCAGAGTAGCCATTTCCTTCCAGAAAGGAACCATGAGATGAGTGCAAAGAGGGGGCAGGGAGCAGGAAGGGGGACCCTCACTGCCTCCCCCCTCACCTGGCATCACGTGAGTGTGATGACTGTGTGCTTCGGTCTCTGTCTGGGACTATCTGCACGCGGGAGCAGGGAGCAGGGAGCAGCACAGCTGTGGGTCTAGGACGTAGTGTGATGTAGGCATTCATGCCCAAACCAGCCAGCCCGGACAGTGACAAACAGGGACACAGGCAGGGACCACTCCTTCTATCTCTTTTATCAGGGTTGGGAGTCACAGTTCTCGTACCAAAGCCCATTATCTGCAGGAATCGGGGTCTTACTGGGGGAAGGAGCAGCCGATAGGAAGACGCTTTCTTGAACAAGGTGGTTAAAAAGTGAAAAGGGACCTCATTCTTCCCCCAACTGGGCACATGACCCCTCTTGATGCCTCCAACCTCCTCTTCTGACTGTGCCCACCCAGTTGGATGGTGGCTTCGGGACAAGGGACAGCAGGGGAGCCTCTTCAGAGGCTCAGGGCCTGGAGCAGTGGCCAGCCCCGCTGAGGTCCTGAGGGCTGAGCTGTCCTCACCACGATCCCCGCTTGTCCCCCACTGGGGTATGACCCATGAGGCAAATGGCCCTGCTGAGTCTGAAAAGCAGTGTCACCTTCGCAGCTTCCGGCACCTGAGGACGGGAGGGGGGCGGTCTGTTAATGGCGGCTGGAGCTCCACCCCCTCCTGACCCACCCCAGGTTACCCTCTGTGAACCCCACTCTCTCCTAACACTCCGGGGAAGCCCCAGCTGGCCTGGCCCTAATGATGACACCCCATGGCCTCGCTGTGGAGGGGAGAAGTGGTGAGAGCCCCTCAGACGAGGAGCAGACTGGGTCCCACCGCATTCCCTGGCCTCCTGGTGCCCATAAGGTGGGACATAGGTCTACCGCCATGGCTTCTGGGTAGCCCAGAGCTTTGCAGACTGAAAAGCTGTCTTCTTCATGTCTGGTCAGTTGTCACCAGCTGAAGGAGCCTTCTCTGACGTCTCAGAGATGGAAGTCAGGTGGCCCTCACCACAGCTCTTGACCTCCACTGCTGGTGTCATCTGTCCTTGTGTCTGACTCTGCGTTAGCGTGTAAGCCGTGTTTACACTTATCCCCGTGCCAGGAGACACTGGGTCAATATTTTTCAACACATTTAACAGCTTCCATTCCCCTGGCTTGCTTCCCACTGGCAGGCACACGCCGGACCTGCTCCAGGAGCAGGCCTGAGGCTTTCCCAAGACCCAGGCCACAAGCCCCTCACCTGCAGGTGTCTGGGTTGAGTTCTAAGCCCCGCCCTTGGCAACGGAGGAAGCTGCGGCGTCGGCAGCGGCAGCGGCAGGTCCAGGGGTCAGGGCGCTGGCGGCGCTGGGCGCAGCGTGGGCAGAGGGGCCTGGGGCTGGAGTGGGATGGGTGATGTCAGCTGGGGGGGTTGCTCCGGGGACAGAGTCCCAGCCCGGAACAGAGCGGGGCTGGGGGCGGTGGTGGGGAGTGAAAGCCCTAGGAGGAGAAGTCACATGTCTGGGACGGGAAGGAAGAGGCTTCCCAGGGGCTGGGGTCGGGTCAGAACACACTGACTCCACTCGGGGAGCTGACGGAAAGGGGAAGGGGGCACAAGTGGGAGGAGAAAGAGCGGGGAAGGGGACCACAGCTTGCTGACACACTCCCCACCCCACCCCACCCTGCCCGTCCTGGGCTCCACCACCTCAGCCGCTGCAGTTCAAGCGGCTCACCTGTCTGGCTTCCCAGCACTCTCTCTCTTTTTTGGTCTGAAAGGTAAGGAGACAGAGACAGAGACAGAAGGGGGTGATCAGGAAATCCAGGCATGTTCTGCTCTTGCCCCAAATCCCAGGCCTACCCCAACTCTACTCCAGAAACCTGCTCCCCACCCCCCGGGGTCCCATACGCCCAGCACCCCCCAAGCTTGGGGTCTGTGAGGGCAGGAGGTGGGCCTGGCTGGCACCTGCATTCACACTGGCTGTGCTCTTCCAGAGACATCTCCCCCAGCTGACTGCTAGGGTACCGGATCATGAGGATCTGTGCTCGGGAGGGGGAGGAGGAGGACAGGGGAGACAGTGAGCGCGTCAACTGAAGGGGCCGCTCCGGGGGCGGGAGGGGGAGCAGCCTCTGGCCCCCAACCCTCCCGGTGATGCACGCTCCGCCCGAGCCAGGCACACTCCACCTGCCCTGGTACCTGCATTCGCACTTGGTGCTGCCCCGTGGGTACACACTCCAGGCCGTCGTCCGGGCAGCAGCCACCACAGCGGTGCACAGTCACACAGCTGGGCACCAGCTGCTTGGCCACAGTGCCCATGAGCTCCACTGTCAGGGGCACTACCACCTCCCGAGGCTGGCAGGTGGCACGGGCATATACGTCGATCCAGGACACCACTGGGAGCAGACCGGTAAGGGTTAAGTCCCCATGGGGTTTCTGCAGCTGTTCCCTGTTCCCTGGCCCCCTGCCCCAGCAGCTCTTCTCCCCAGCCTCCCTGTCTCAGCCACCCTCCATCTGCCCTCCCAACCTGTTTTCCCTTACCCTGTCTATCCAGAACCCAGGAACCCCACACTCCTCAACTCTGTCTCCTCTGAAACAGACTAAGATTTTGCATCTTTCAGGACAAGAGAGAGGAACAAGGAACTCAGAATTGGGACATATGGTGAACCCATTGGCTCGTAAAAAGTTACTGTTACCTTTCTTCTGGTGGCCCAGGGGATCAGGCTGGGAGGCAGGGGCCTGTGGGAGAGAAGAAGCCCAAGGTGGGGGACACCCCTTGGACGCAGGGAGCACTGTGGAAGTGCTGGTCCTGCTGCTGTCCTGGGGTCTCCTGGAGGTCAGAGGGCTTCACCTCTGCTCTGACATCCGTTCCTGGGGCGTGACTAGCTTTACCTGATCTCTCTTGGCCACCTGGAACCTGCCCCGGCCCACGACTCGCCTGGTGCGCTCTGCAGGCGACGTCGAATCTCCAAGCGTTGGCGCCGGCCTTGTGCTGCAGGCGGCAGGTCTGAAGTGGGCACAGTGGGCGCTGAACCAGGGCCCGCGGGCACCGAAGCGACTCCGCCTCCAGCTGCGCCCAGGGGACGGGGTGGAGCGGGGGAGTGGCCCCGCGGCTGGGCCGGCGGGCCAGCAGGAGGGGCGCCTCCCAGGGGATGCCCGGCCCCGCGATGCCCCGGTCCGGGCTGGACCCCGCGGCTCGCTCAGCCAATGCGCGCACCTCCCCACTTCCGCCAACCTTGAGAGGGCACCGCAGGCAGCTGGCTGCGGGGCCGCACGTACCTGGGCGGGGGCCAGCTGCAGGAGCGCGGCGAGCAGCAG